TAAGCAAACGTATAACCCTTTGTGCACTTCAGTGTTTAATACTGTGATTTTTATAAACTGGAGTAAGAGTTCCCATTCATTCCCAAATCTCAAACTTTAAGCAGCCTTTTTCATAACCATTTATTCTTGTATTTACAGTTGCCAGTCAAAAGAAAAAATTAAATTGCAAGTCTCATTTGGTTGGGTATAGACTTCATTCTTAACAAATGCCTGCTACTGTAGGTAGTCCGTACAGATGACAGTTTGCAGATGTCAAGAGGTGACAGCCTAAGCTACAAGTGTCCCCAGCCTTGCCCCCTTATGTTAACCTATGGTTGCTGCACTGTCAAGGCCCCCGCTGCCCTGCCCGCTCTGTTTGCTGCCCCTCCCCCTGTAGAAGCTTCTCCTGCCTGGGGCTGCAGCTCTTAGATGCTGCTGGTCTGCCCAGGAATCAGGTCCCACCATGGCATTACCACTTGGCTTGTGTATTTTTACCTCACTAAGTTTGGTAAGAAGCGAGTAACCCTATAACCAGTGTTTAGTGTCATGGCTTTTGATACTGAAAGATAAATAAAACTGAATTGATTGTATGACATAAATGCACCTCTTGAAACACTTACCCTATTGCTGTGAGCCAAGAGTGCTGCCTGCATCTTTTAACACTGATACTGTTAGCCAAGTTCAAAATTCCTGCTGTGTTCCTAGCATGTTCTGTAGAGTTGTGAGACTGAATCTTATCATTAAAGTTAGTGAATTGTTAGAAACATTGTTCTTCGTGAGAAAATGATTTTCAAGCCAGAACTGAAATAACTGTTGAAATACTTTCATAACAGGACAAAAGTGAAAGAAAGCTAGTGAAAAAAAATGAGATTTTGAAACATCCCTAATGGATAGAAAAACATACTGGTTTTAAATCCTTTCTAACTAAGCTACTTAAGGCATTGTTTTTACTTTCATATTGAAAAGCAATGATCAGAAGAGTTTTATTTTCTTATCTCATGAGCATGTTATCCATAAAATATAGATAGAATTGCTTAGTTAAGGATGCTTGAAAAGGGGAGTCAAGTGTCTAATAGAAGGCTTTTCAGATGTTTGCATAGTAAGTAGTAATATCTTAATAATTTTATATATATTTATAATAGAATAAAAAAGAAAGACATCTGTGAGAAAAAAAAGCTGACCCTTAATTTTAAGAGTGATTTCACTGAATTAACAACTCTCTGTGTTTATGACTTCTGAGCTTTCTACATAAGATAAATGAACCAGTTTGACCCTTCTCTTTATGTTTCAACTTCATTAGAAATGATCTTAATATCTAATTAGGCTCTTTGTTATTCTTTGTGGGAAATGCACTAGCAATTCATGTTCCGTTTGTTTGTTTTATGTTTGCTGCATTTACAATACGTAGCAGACAAAAGCCAAATCAAAAAACATGTATACCAGGAAGAAAAAAAATCCAAGGAAAGTATATTGAAATTAAATGACCTGTTTGTAAGTTCCGAACTTGGAGAACAAAATATTACCTACATTTTATAATGACAGGTATGATTCTTTGCTTGAACAAAATATCTGGTAGTTTACATTTCCCTGAGGATATGTAAAAAAGACAAAGTGGCCATTGGGAAGAAAATCTTGACAAATGTGAGCTCATTTTTAAAAGCTTTTACCTGAACATCTGGTAGCCACGCACGTTAAATATTAAACCAAAACCTGTAGACTTACAATTAAATTCATTGAAATAGGATTTAATATATTAATGAATTAGAATTATGATAATATGGGTCACTTTTTGTAGGACACTCGTCATCATACCTGGAGTCACAAAACCTGTCTAAGAATACAATAAATTTGAGTTTGGTGTGATGTTTCACAGTGTGTTAAATGTCCAGTTACCTTATTATTCTTAAAGTCCAAAGCTACATGTTTTCTCTGGCAAATTTGAGTTTGAATTATTTGGATCATTTTCTAATGTTAGCCGTAAAAGTAAATAGCATACATGCTTAAATGTGCTTTTTTGCATTTCTACAACCTAAAGACCAGTTTGGTTGAAAAAATAAAATTTAACAGCTTTTAATTTGTCATGTGGAATCTGATTCTATGTGTTTTTTATTACCTCCATATATTTATCTAAGTGAAACATAAAATGGTTGTAATAATGGAGAATTTAAAGCAGCTTTTGCACATGAGCAGTAATGCTAACTAATATGGGGAATAAAAACTGAATGTAAATTCTCAGAGTTTCTTTTTTTGCGGGATGTATTTCCTAAAGTTGGTATATTTTGGTTAGCTGATACAAGCCCTCCATCATCCTAATTAAGCTATGAAGAGTTTTGATGGACAGAATGGGAAAAAAAGTAGTGAGTAACCATTGATAAAGAATATAAGCAGTCTCATGTATGTGTATGTATGTGTGTGTATGTGTGTACAGCTATATATATTTAATTTTCAAACTACCATGCAATATACATTAGATCACAGAACCTGTCATAATATAAACACACATCCTTCTTTTGCTGGAGTAATGTTCTGGTATTTCTACATGTATATCCAGAAATAATAACCTTGGTATGACAGAAATCTATATAATCTAATATCATGAGTTCCTACTGATACTACTTAATTTACGCCCCTTATATTGAGCCTCTTTTCTCCCTTTCCCTTGCCACTCAGTTTAGCCCTTCATTTATATTTCATTTGTACTATTCCGATAGCCACATTTCTGTTCACATGACTAGCATTTCAGCATTTTAGCCCCCTTATTCATTTCGGCTAAACTTACTGCTCATAAACCAGAGCTGGCCATGTCACTCAACTGGTAATAAAGTTCTGTCAGCATCCTATTAATCTAGAATGTCAACTCCAAACCTCCTAGCTTGACATATATGTTCTGAAACAGACCTTTGTTAGCCCCTACCCTGTATTCTCTTAAGTCATTCTGCATACCTAAACTGCCCAGAACTTGTTTTTCTTCCTTGTTTGCCACCTTCTAGTGACCTATTAAAGTGTCGCCTTATCTTCTGAAGCTCTCTGGCCTCTCCCAGGAATAAGCGGTTGACTCACTGAAATGTTTCCCCATAACATTTTGTTCATATATTGTATAAAGAATTAACTTTTTAATCATTTCATATGTCTATAATCTTACAACATTCTGCGCTCCTTGGAAACAAAGCATTGTGTTCATATTTATATATTTACAACTTAACACAGTAGCATATGGAAGTTAATGTCCTTACTGAATATTTGTTGAATGAATGAATGGATGAATAAATGAGTCCAAGAAGGTCTGGATAAAATGCTAACACAAGTGTTATTAGAAAACTTGCTGAACATAGAGAGACAGTTCCAAAACGTCATAAAACATCTACTTGTTATTATCCTAAGATTGTCTTGAAACTACTGCATAAAATCATTATTTCCCTCTCAGTTTATTGAATGCCATGTTTTCATCAGAATGATGAATCAATAGGAAAATATTTTTAATTTGTGTAACTTCAGCCATTGTGTAAATTTGTAAACTTACATATATTGAATGAAGTAGATGTTTACATTAATTTAATATAAATTTGCCTGTAGGCTCAGGCCCACAGATCTTGGTGTTAAACCTATTCTATCTAATTAGCTATCATCTCTTTCTAACTACTCACATATATGAAGTCAGGCTATAACTCGAGGAAAATATTCTCCAAAAAAGAGTAAGGATTCATGGTACTAGAATCCTAGGCATAGGACACTTTCAGATTACTGGCCTGAATATGGTGATTGATACAACAAGAGCTAGTGAAAACTTTGTAAGTAAATAAGTCCTTGTATGAGGCTATTATTGGACATGTCTAGATAGATGAAATTAGTTTTATAATTCCTAATTTCATATTAGAGAACTCTATTCAACACAGCGTAATAATAAACGTTGTATTAGGCTCCATGTAATTTTCCATAACTGATCATAGGGCTGAATTAAGTAAGGTCCTTGCCAAATGTATTTTTAATTGTTGAAATGTTTTACCTTCTAATGTGAAAAGCACATATCAATATTTATAAGCCAAAAAGAGTAATTTGTTATGAGAGATATATTTGAATATGGCAAAAATTTTTGTTTTGCCTTTATGTGCAAAAATGTATCTTATTTTACCTGCTTTTCTTCTAATTGAGGGCATAATACCTTGTTAAAATACGTGTAATTAAAAATTGCGGTTTTTTTTCATGAGAATGAACTGTTAAATTCAATATCGGGTAATACACTATTACCTAATGTAATTAAGTTACATTAAATGATCATAAATTTATTTACCTGGCACAAAGAAAGATAGGGTTACTGGATCATGGGAGAAAATAAATTTTGAGCATCTTACTTCCAGATTATATACTAATATATTTTAAACTATATTTTTTGCAACTTTTGTTATACTGATAAAATACTACTACTTCTTTTGCTCTTCCATATGGTATCATAGTTTTTCACTACTATTCACAGAAAAGAGGCTACTGTCTGAAAAAAATAATGGCTATCCCAAAGTTACTAAATTTTATCTTTATGGATAACCACTATTTTTTTTCTTTTCAATATGCTATTCAATCATGTCAATCTCTGAGGAATACCTAGCCATCTAGAAATATTTAGCATTGTTAGCTTAGTCTCATTTTTCTCATAAAAAGCTCCAATTGTTTTTTTCCCTTTATGATTATAGAGTTGCTGGTCTAAATCAAGTTGTCTCTGAACAAGCTAAGAATTATAAGCGCTAAAATCATATTTTAAAACCTGAGCAACCAATATATATAAAAGTCAAAGATATACTTGTATCTATCAGATCAACATATTCTTCTAATTCCCTCAGAGGCAATCATATAATTTGACACCAACATTTAAGCTTTGAAAATTATGTGACCATCTATTATATTATAGATGGTATATGTCCTCAAACCTTTTTTATGACTTATAATACAAGAAAGGACTGCTCAATTAAAAAAAAAATCCCTTCTGTTATTGATAATTGCCTAAGCTGCTTCTTCCTTTCCTTTTTCAGAATGAAGAACAAATTTTGGTATTTTGAGTTTGGCACATCTGAAACTTTCTCAGCCACCTGCAAGAAGCTACATGAATCTGTAGAAATAGAAGTAAGAAACATGAATTATATTTTATAATACAATGAAATGGCTTGAGTTTGGTTACTAATGTTTGTGACAGTCCATGTGAGGAGTTATACTTTGAGCAATCCATATAACTTTAACCCACAATCCTAAAATTTCATTTCTGTCACTCATTGCGATTCCAACACTATCTGAATTATTAGTATAAAGTTAAGTTTTGAGTATGAGTTGTTTTAATACACTATAAAAGGATAAGAGGTAGGACCCAACTTTAGAAATCAATGGAGAAGTTGCTAGGCATAGTGTGGTTAGAAAGATGTAAAATGAAGGAAAGTACTTGAAAAGAAAGGAAAAAAGTTGCAAGATACATTAAAGAATACTTTATTTTCAGGTCTCAATATCTTACAATCTTTAAAACACAGTTAACTAAAATTGTACTTGATTTTGTGAATAAAACTTAAAATATATACTTTTCCATTCCATTCCCATTCATTAACTAGATTTTTCTCGGTTCCTGAGGTTGCCATTTCCCCATTACATTTATAGGAAGCAGAAAAACCAAAAAAGAGAGCAAAGATAGCAAGACAGACAAACTTTGAAAAGATTTGGAGCAAATAGGTCCTCCAAAAGAATATAGCTACTGTGGGACTAAAATTTTTGGAGATGGGTTATAATATAAAATGACTTAGTTTTGTTGAGAGATTTTAGGGGGTTAAGAAAAAGGAAAAGTTATATTTTGTTGAGTGGTAAAGACAAACCAAAGGAACATAATTATGAAACAAGAACATCTGATGACTAGCTGATATGAATTGTGAAATATTGGCTTTAGCACTTTTTATTTTAAAAATGAATGTATAACTTACCTACTAAGACCTAATCATTAGTGGTATATATTCAGGTAATGAGTTTGATAAACAAAATTAGTTATGCATCCATTGGATCATAATGGTCTGCCTAAGTTCTTCATTATTCTAGCTTTCTCGTTTACTGTTAATGATTGTGACAGCAAAAGTGGTCCTATTTCAGAATGTAACCTTTTTGGGGTTTTTTGGCGGATAAATTCAAGTATTAGAAGTAGAATTGGTGATCATGGAATGGAAAATACCCTCCGTGACCGAATCAGATCATAACCCTGAAAAAGAATATAATCCCAAAAGATGAAGGATTTGCGTTCGACATGGACTTTCTGTAATTACTGTTCATCAAGATTTATATATGTATATATTTCATATACATGTGTAGAGAGTGATATATTTAGATAGTTATATATATATTTATAAAAAATAAAAATAAATATTTCTTTACCTTTAAAATCATTATTTTAAGAAATTCTCAATAAAGTGGATTTTGAGCATTGTTTTACCCTCAGAAACTTATGCTCAAAGAAAATCCATAGAAGGCAAAAATGAAAAAAATAAAAGTATGACTTCTGGTTGAACTTAGGGTGAATACTCTGAAGCCTCTTTATCCTACCACTGAACACTGACTGAAAAAAATGTTGAACTAGGAGAGAGAATTCATGGATAGGAAAACTCAGTATTGTCAGGATGTCAGTTCTTCCCACCTCGATCAATTGGTTCACTACAATCACAGTCAAAATCCCAGCAGATTTGTGGGTGAGTGAGTACTAACAAAATGATTATAAAGTTCCTATGGGGAGTCAAAAGAGCCAGGATGTCCAACACGATATTGCAGGAGAAGAATAAAGCTGGAGGACTGACACTACCTGACTTCACGGCTTACTATAAAGCCACAGTAATCAAGACAGTGTCGTACTGATGAAAGAACAGGCAAACAGATCAATGGAATAGAATAGAGGGCCTAGAAATAGACCCACCCCATAAATATACTCAAGCTTCTTTGACAAAGGAAGAAAGCCAATGCAATGCAGCAAAGGAAGTGTTTTTTTTACTAATGGTGCTAGAATAACTGGATGTCCACTAACAAACAAAAAAACAATCTAAAAGAAATGAATTCACTCTTAACAAAAGTGAACTCAAAATGTATCAAGAACCTAAATGTAAAACATGCAACTATAAAACTTCTAGAAGATAACATAGGAGGAAATCTAGATGGCCTTGAGTATGGTGATGCCTTTTAGATACAACACCAAAGGCTCACAAACAGTGGAAGAAATAATTGATAAGCTGAACTTCACTGAAATTAAAAACTTCTTCTCTGTGAAAGACATTGTCAAAAGAATGAGAAAATAAGCCACAGACAGAAAATAATTGCAGAAGATATATCTGATAAGAGACTGTTAACCAAAATATACAGACTCTTAAAACTTAATAAGGAAATAAACCACTCCACTGAAAACAATGGGACAAAAACTTTCACAGATACCTCACCAAAAAAAGACATACAGGTGGCAAATCACCATATGAGATGATGCTCCATATCACATCATCAGAGAAATTTAAATTAAAACATTAATGAGATACAGCACTACACCAAAACACCAAATGCTTGTGAAGATGTGCAGCGGTAGGAACTCTCATTTATTTCTTGTGGGAATGCAAAATGGTACAGCCACTTTGAAAGACAGTTTGGTGGTTTGTTACAAAACTAAACATATTCTTACCATATGATCCAGCAATCGTCTTCCTTGGTATTTACCTAAAGGAGCTGGAAAGTTATATCAACACAAAAACGTGCACACGGTTGTTTACAAGCTTAATAATTGCAAAACTTGGAAGAAAACAAGAGGTCCTTCAGTAGGTGAATGGATAAAAAGACTATGGTACATCCAAACAATGGAATATTATTTAGTGCTAAAAAGAAATTAGCTATCAAGCCTTCAAAACACATGGAGGAAACTGAAATGTGTTTTCCTAAGCGAAAGAAGACAATCTGAAAAAGCTGCATACTGTATGATGCCAACATATGACCTTCTGGAAAAGTAAAACTGTAAGACAGTAAAAAGATCAATGGTTTTCAGGGGTTGTGGGGAGAAGGATAGATGAACAGGCACAGCAAAGAGAGGATGTTAGGGCAGTTATAATACTCTGTAAAATATAATGATGGTAGAAAACTTCCTTGGTTTGTTCAAACCCAAGGAATGAACAGTTGGAGTGAACCCTAATGCAAACTATGGACTTTAGATGATTGTGATGTGTCAATGTAGGTTCATCAGTTGTAACAAATTTACCACTCAATCCAAGACGCTGATAAATGGGGATGCTGTGCCTGTGTGTTAGATAGATGGGAAATCTCTGTACGTCCCCTTGAATTCTGTGGTGAACCTTAAGCTGCATGAGAGAAACAGAGAAAACGTGAGTGGGGAAGGGGCAGATAGAGGTAGACAATTCTAAACAGGCTCCACACTGTCAGCGAGGAGACCGATGCGGGACTCAAACGCACAAAACTGTGAGATCATGACGTGAGCCGAGATCAAGAGTTAGACACTTAACCAACTCCAGGCAACACCCCCCCCCCAAAATAAAGTCTTAATTTAATAACATGTTGATCTAGAATATAACATTATATGTCAAAAAGGTAAAAAAAAAAAAAAAGAGACAGAGAGAGAGAGAGCGCGAGATTTAGAAAACATAACAAAGGGCATTGATTTGAATGAAAATGAAAATAAAGCACATTTTATGAAAAAAAAAGTTTTAATGATAAAATTGTATAGTTTTGTTTCACACAGCTTTATATTCTACAGAAAATTGATTTAGAATGCCCCCCCCCAAGAAATATGGGCACCTAGAATAAGTTATTCTTCCTGATGTCTTACTTTTACAAGCCCTCCAAATCTGGCTTCCTAGCTCTTCATTTACCGGCTTATTTTGGGTCACATTGCAATAGCATGTATAAATCAGAACCAGCGCCATGCCCTCACCACTTTCTTGTTGCATATCCTGAATACTGTTATAATGTTACGTATTTATCTCAGTTCTAAAACTTGAGGGGTGTGTGTGTGTGTGTGTGTGTATAGATGGTAATGCAAAACCGGCTTTTCTACTCACTTTTTAATGAATCCAGTCTATCATAGTAGCAAAATATGCCTTTCTACCCTCAAGGTTACTTTATAATTTAATATAACAAAAACGTTAATTTGGAAATTGGATTCTGTTTGCTGTTGCTCCCTACTTGGCCTAAAATTGTTCCAACCATGATTTGAAAATACATAACTAAAGATAAAAATACAAGAGTACCTCAAGTAGATACATGCTTTATCAGCAGCTTCTTCAAAACAAACTATTTGCTCTGTGACACTTTATTTCACTTTTCTTTTTCATAGAGGAAACTTTTTCCAAAAGGGATGAATATTTGGAAAAATATGAATACCATGGTATAATAGTTGATAATAATAGCTAATTTTTATCTCTTATTAACTATACCGTCTTCTTGGTGCTAAGCAATGTGTATACATTATCTGATTTAAGTCTTTGTCAATCAGAGAGGTTCCCATATATTTCCACTACAGAGATGAGCAAATGAGCATGTTATTTAATAATTTAAGAGAAACAAGAATTGTGTTGCTGACAAAATGTGTAAATCTAAGGAAATAAATAAATTGGAAATGATATATATAATAGGAAAATATATATTATATATATAACATGTGTAATATATATAGCATGCAGGCATATATATAACGTGAAAGAGAGATGAACAAAGGTAAAATTTTTAATTTTAAAAATTTAAGTTATTCTCTTTGCTACAAAAGATAAATAATACAATGAAAAGTCTTAAAATTAGAAGATATGTTAAAAGCAAAGTTTGTGTTAAACTATTTGGGGCATAGATGTGCACCTAAGAGTCATAGGTCAACATCTGGAAATGAAGCTCTAAAGTTGGTGGACTTTTAATTTGTTCCATGTATCAGGCAACATTCATGAGAAAATAGAATAGTCAATTTTCCAAAGTTTTTCGGTCTTTTGGTTAATTTCTGAGACTAAGAAAGATGGTATGTTTTGAGGGTTAGAATTTCCATTCCAAAGCACTAAGATTTGTTTTAGTGATTAAGTACTTCTATAAAAACCAAAATGATCTCCAGGATTAACAAAGGGCAAGAAGCCTCA